TCTTGACTGGTTTTGTGGCCAGAGGGAAGTACCGGTACTTCCTTGACTCAAACCATGCAAATTGTCAAAGCCCAGCATATTACCACCCCTAGGGGTGCTGCCGCCGCTGTGGTTGGCTCCATGAATGGGTCTCCATTTCTGCAGTGACCCGTGGCACCTTCTGCTTCCTGCTTTGTTTCTGTACTTTATACATGCCTGGTCTCATATTCTCTGATCGTTTATTTGCAGTTTTATATTGAGGTGTCACATAAAACGTTTCTGAAATCTTTATTGTACAATATTAACAGGGAGAAAAGTTGCCCGCATTTCCATCCATTTGCCAATGCACCATGTAGAAGGTGTTCATATGCCCCAAATAATACTTTTAGGAAGTTGTTTGAAACATTTGTCATGAAAGTCAGGATTTTTAAGAGCATCCAGTGTTCAGAAAGATGTAAAGTAGATCTCAAACCAAGTAAGCTGTGTTATACTCAACAAGAGGGAAAAAGCTGGAGGTGTAAAGAGGGTAAATAAACCTGCTTCGAGTTGCTTTGGCCGGCATCGAGTGAGGGACTTGCTGTCTGTTTTGGGGGAGGTGCTCTGCCGATGCCTGTGCCTGGCTGTGCTTTCCCAGTTTTTAATGCCCTGCCTGTGTTTTTCAGCACGCTGAAGAGATCCCTGGATGTTTTCAAGCAACGTAAGTAATTCTTTGTGTTTGTCAGGACACTTGGCAGTGCTGAAGCCGGCAGGGAACTGCTTCGGAAGAAAATAGCAGAGAACCTGTGTGATGCTGGGGTCAGGCTGTCCTCCTGGCCTGGCTCATCCCAGTGCATGGGGTTTGGGACCAAGTGCTCCAGAGCATGGGTGGGAGAGGCCATCCACAGAGCATCCTTTTGGGGATGTCTTGGGCTTTTGGGGCTGGCTGCAGCTCAGAGTTGGTGCTTGTGTTGTACATCAAAAGCAGCATGTGGCAACCTTGTCTGGTTTGTTGGACTGGCTCGACTTGCTGTCTTCACATACATATGCAGTAATTAGCACCTTGAATACTGTGTTCAGTTTTGGGCCGCTCACTACAAGAAGGACATTGAGGTGCTGGAGTGTGTCCAGAGAAGAACAATGAAGCTGGTGAAGGCTCTGGAGAACAAGTCTTACGAGGAGCCGCTGGTAGCAAGTGATAGGATGCGAGGAAATGGCCTCAAGTTGCACCGGGGGAGGTTTAGGTTGGATGTTGGGAAAAATTTCTTCACTGAAAGGGTTATCAGTCATTGGAACTGGTTGCCCAGGGGCATTTAAAAGTATTTAAAAGACGCCTAGAGGTGGCACTTGGGGACATGGTTTAGTGGTGGGCTTGGCAGCGCTAGGTTTACAGTTGGACGTGACGATCTTAAAGGTCTTTTCTAAATGATTCTATGATTCTAGTCAGACCATCTAAAAGATGAAGCTTTGGCCACCTTACATCATCCCTCCATTGTGTCACAGCCCACCAGGGTACATGCAGCCAGCATCCATACCTCGAGGGCTAGCACTCTGCCTTCCTGAGTCCACCCTCCACCCCAGACGGGTTTGTCTCCTGCCCAGTACCGTGGTGGACCTCTCTAATGCGGCTCTGCCCTCGCAGCAGCTGACTATTAATAGCTGCGGTCTTGAAGCAGCTCTGGGGGTTGAACTGTGAGCTACAGTTTGCTTTAGCTCCCTTGACAAGCTTGCTGGGGTGGTGTTTCACAGTATGGCTGCTCACCTTCAGCAAAGCGAGCCTGAGAATTTTGTAGCTTTAGTTTTTTTGTGCCCCAAGTTGGTTGTCTGCTAGCTTGGGGCAATGCTTCCTTCAGACAGCTGCTTCAGGGTGCGATGTGTTGAAACTTGCCTGAATTCATCTGGATGAGGTGGAGATGTGACCATGCTTGTTTGAATAACTTTTCTTGATACGAGTTTTCTTAAACTGAAGGGCAGGCTTCAAAAGTACTGCTGCTTTATATGTTTCTGCAAGGGGAAGTATGATGTGGAGTCAGTTTGATGTCACCTACAATAGTTGACTTGAGCAACAGTCTTTTTAGGAATATGTATGTATTTTTAAAATTTTGTTTCTTTGCAGAGATGGACAATGTGGGACAAGGTCACATCCAGTTGGCACAAACCCTTCGGAAGGAAGCAAAGAAAATGGAGGACTTCAGGGAAAAGCAAAAACAGCATCGGAAAAAGGTCAGTCGCTGCAGGAACACGCGCCTTTGCTGCAGGGTGTTGATCCTGCCCCGGCAGTGGGCTGCTCCCAGCTGGTGTCTCCTGCCATGCCCCAGTCCCCTCCGTGTCACTGGTGCCTGCTGCTGCTGGGAAGTCCTGAGCTCCCTCCTACGTGTTGCAACCATGTCGGTGAACTGTGCAGCAACCTCCGACTTCCTTCTTCTCATTGCCGCTTCTTGTCCTTTGGGTGCTTTTTGGGGCCAGCGATAGCAGGGGCTCAGCTCCAGGGACACCAGCCTCAACCAGAGATGTTCTCAAAGTGTATATACATAGTGCTGTACAATCCTCACAGGGTCTGCTAAAATTGGCAAGCTTTTTAACTTCTTCTGGCTTGAGATTCCTTTGTCTGGAAAATGAGGGAAAACTGCTAGAACCAGGGTCTGGTTTGGACCTAGTGGAGGGGAACGGGCTTCCCAATTTTGTCAGACCCTGTGGAGATGATACAGTACTATATATTGCTAGGATTTCATTTGTAGAGCTCTTTTGGATACAGAAGTGGAGGCTTAGATAGAAGCATAAAAGATGTTTTTTGTGAAGATGCTTTGGGTGGATAAAGGTCCTTAAACCCATCTCAATGCGGTTTGTGCCTCTTCCTTTCCTAAGCCACGTAGTCCATCCTGGAGCTGTAGTGGTCAGTGATGTGCTGACTCTGGGTCTGTTGTCTTCACAGATAGAGCTGATAATGGAGGCAATTCACAAAAACAGGAATTTGCAGTACAAGAAGACCATGGAGGTAAAGCAAATATCCTGCTGTTTCTTGCAATATGGGTTAACGCTGCTAACATGCACACACATAGTGCTGGGGCAGACCTAAATGCGAGGGTCTTCCTCCTCTCCTGCAACTCTCCATGTTGTGTCTGCACAAGCGGTATGCAGGGTGTGCTCAGAAAAACTGAAGAGTACGCCAGGGACATGGCTCGTGGTAGCCTTGCAAGTTGGATATGAGTTATTTAGATGCCATGGACTTGATTGCCATGAACTTTTCGTCCCAAACGAAGAGCAGCTTGTCTTGTGAGGTCGGTTTTGCCCAAGCAGAAAGGCATCCGGGACCTTGCATGCGGTCCCCTGCTCTGCTGGCAGCCTGTGCCCACCTCTTCACTCGTAGGCTGTGCTTTCCTCCAAAGCCTCTCGCCTGAGCTGTATGTGCATCTCGTTGCTTGCTGACATGCTCCTGCCCTGTTTGGTGGCTCTCCTAGGCCAAGCGGCTCTATGAGCAGCGCTGCAGGGAGAAGGACGAGGCGGAACAGGCTGTGCACCGCAATGCAAACCTGGTGACACAGAAGCAGCAGGAGAAGGTACGGTGGTGGCAATGGGGCAGGAGAGAAAGGGATGTCTCTTCTTGCAGCTCTCCTGCCCCATGGCTCTTCGCCCAGCTCTGGGTTTTGGGGCGAGACGGGAGGGCTGCACTGCTGCCCGTGATGCACCAGGGCTCTCCTCTACCTTTCTTCTCTCTCCCATTTTTGGCAGCTGTTCCTGAAGCTGGCTCAGACGAAATCAGCTCTGGAGGACTCTGGTGAGCATGGAAAAGCAGCGTTCGGAGGGCAAGGGGAGCGTTTCACAGGGCAGGGGGTTGTGAAGCCATGGCATGGCTCTTGGTGAACACCAGCTCTTGGGTCAGGTGCAGCTCCTCAGAAACACCTCCCCTGGAGAAGCACTCATGGCCCCACCAAGGTTACTCCCCCAGCACAACCCTCCGCCTTGCTGTGCGGCTCTGCCTCCCCTTGCAGTGCCCACCCACAGTCATCCCTGCTGCTTCTCCCTGACAGCCCAGCCATTTCAGGCTTCACATATTACCTTCTAGCAAAGGGTTTTGTTTTATTTAATTAATGTTACTCGGATGACAATGTGATTTCCCTCGCAGACAGGAGTTACCAGCAGAGCATTTCCACACTGGAGAAGATCCGGGAAGAATGGCAGACAGAGCACATCAAAGCTTGCGAGGTAAATGCCCCATAACGCCTTCACGTGGCAGCATGGTCTTCTGGATGTCCATCCCTTGCTGCGGGGGTTAGAGATGGTGCAGATTTGTCTTCTGCTCTGTATTCCCCTGGCAGTGAAGCAGCAGGATGTGTTGCAGCTAACCCTGCGTGTTTCTTGCTTCTGGATTCAAGGTCCCACTACTTCAAGGTGGTTTCCACTATTTTTTTATTTTCTTCTTCCACTGCCTTTTAAAATCGACAGAGTCAGTGCACTAAGTAGTGCTGGTTTTGCCCCTTACCTGCTTGCACATTCAGTGCGGCCATTGTCTTGAACAGTCACGGTCATGGTCACCTCTGCACACCTGGCGACTCGAGGCCAATATGTGCTACAGCTGCCACACCACCCGGCAGACTCTGAAACTCTGAAAGACTTTAAATGACCTTGCAGCAGAGGGCTGGGGACACAGGCTGGGTGAAGCCATCCCCACACACCACGAGCCCTCTGCCTTGTATCTCATGGACCACGTGGTAGTGTGGGAACCCCTCCGAGTGGTTGTATCAGCCTAGGGCACACTGCCTCACAGCGAAGTGGTTCTACCACGTGCTGGGGAGGTCCAGAGCTGGTGGCAAGAGGACTGTGCAGTTCCTCTGCTGCTGACCTGCGTCTTGCACCTGCCTGTGATCTGTGACCACGAGGTGGACAGGGACTGCAGAGATCCAGGTTTTATCCCAGGTCTGCTGCAAGCTTGCAAAAGGTCTCCCCATCCCCAGCCACGCCAATCCCTTCCCAAGCTATTTCTCCGCAGGCTTCTATTTTACTTTTGCCTTTTGAAATGGCATTTGCTGTCTGTTTTGAGTGACGTGCATTGGTGTGTCAGTGCTGGGGTGATTCTGATGTCTGGGGTCTCCAAAAGTGTCTGATGGCAGGGCGTGGGAAGCAGTAGTTTCAGTTCTGCGGATGGGTCACATGCAGGTTTTCCCCTTGGTGTGCTGCAAAGGTCATAACTGATAACAAGTGCATACGTACGCTTGGGATGAAAGTTTATCTTTCACAGAAATGCGTAAAGATATGTGAAATTGAGCGCTCCCAGACTGCAGATTTCAAAAGACTTGGGTTTAAACCTGCTTGGAAAAGGGGTGGGCAGAAAAGAGGAAGAAGACCGACCGGTCAATGCACCTCTGTTTTCATACCTCCCCAGTCCTTGTTTTATTGCTCCATACCTGTGGGAGGGAAGTGACCTGGGACCGCAGGGCCATGGGGTACCTAGGGAATGTGCACTGCCTTTAGGAAGCTGGCTTGGTCTCCCCAAAGGTAGCGGTGTGCCGGGTGACCCCTTCCACATCAGTCCTGCAGACCTTCCTGAGCTTAACACTCATCTTTGAAATACCTGGTTGCGTAGAGGGATGATTTCTCCTCTGGATGAGCTGGAGGACTCGTGGTTTCCATGTTTCCTACAGGAGACCACCACCACCTGATCCTCGCTGAGGACAGTCATCTTTGTAGTGGCACTTGGGGATGAGAAATGTTCAGGATAAAAGAGATTTGCTCTCATTTTAAAGATGCGAGGGCTGTTTTATCTGTGTCATTTTAGTTCTTTGAGACTCAGGAGTGCGAGCGGATCAACTACTTCCGCAACGCCCTCTGGCTTCATGTCAACCAGCTCTCCCAGGACTGCGTCCAGAATGATGAGGTATATCAAATGAAAATCTTTTTTTGTGTTTGGAAAGCACTGAGTTGTGTTATGTCTGACTTAGGCTGTGGCCTTTGATTGGCCACCAGACACCAGCATGAGTGTGCCGGTGGAAGATTTTGGCCAGAGCTCTTGCAGATGAAGTTTTCTCTGTGTTTCCCACATGTTTTGAGGGTGGTGAAACTCTGGGCAGGTTGCCCAGAGAGGTGGTAGATGCCCCATCCCAGAAAACATTCCATTGGACGGGGCTCTGAGCAACCTGCTCTAGTTGAAGATGTCCCTGCCCATGGCAGGGGGTTGGAACTAGATGGGCTTTAAAGGTCCCTTCCAACCCAAACCATTCTGTGATTTTATGATTCCCCTACCACTGGAGCTTGTGCCCTGGGTGGGCACTGGGGTTTCACCCCATGTGTGGTAAACGTTTGGAAAAAACCTCTTGGTTTTTGACCTGATGTATAGATGTATGCTTTTTACTTCCCTTTTGCAGAAATACGAGGAAATCCGCAAGAGTTTAGAAATGTGCAGCATTGAGAAGGATATTGATTTTTTCGTAAATTTACGCAAAACTGGAAGTTTGGCCCCAGGTAAGAGCTCAGTACAATCTCACAAAGTAGTGCTGACTTCCTTGTACTCCTCACGGAGCTGCTGCTCTGATCAGTATCAGTCTAGATGCAAAAACATTGATTGTGCAACATCCCTCCTTTCATTAACTGGGATGCAGTACTAGTCTCTGCCACTTATCACCAGCGCCTGAAGATAATCTCCCCTTTCTGTAACTTCTAATTTCCTGATCAGGCATTTTCCCAGAGAGAGGAGAGACTTAGCAGCTCAATGTTGGTGTTGACAAGCAGTTTATTCTTACATCTTATTCTGTATTTTTACTATTGTTAACTTTTCCTAGCTCCTGTTGTTTATGAAAACTACTATAATACACAGAGAAATCCAACTCCTGTGAGAAGTCCGGTTCCTGTACCTATAGCGAGGTAAAGGACATAACATGTACAGTTGCAATTGCTCTTGCAAGTGATGCTCTCTCCCCACCCCCAAAACAAAAAAAAGTATATTTGTTGCTTTCAGTACATTGGAGGCTTGACCTGGGACTATTAGAGGACAATATTTCCCATGCTATGTGGTATTTCCCATGCTATGTGGTCCATCGCTCTCCACAGCAGGAGTTGTGCCAATGTGCTACCTATTATAAGCTCTTCAACGATCCCCTCAAACCCAGTCAGAGGTTTTTGCTCCCTGTTTTGAGGTCATTTCTCCCTTCTCATGGGTGGGAATCTTATTCTGAAAGTGCTTGCGGTGACGGTGTGCTCATTTTTTCCTTTGCCAAGCCTCTTCCAGAAGTCCTTTGCGTGGAGGTGGGGGGCTGTGGTGCTCGGACAGCAGAAAAGCAAGGCAGCCTAGGGAATACTGAATTTCATGTGTTGCTCCCTCTGGAAACTATCTGAGCTGCCTTTTAGAGCAGCCTTTGACACCAAAATGAAATCTTCTGGGCTTCCCTGTGTGGTTCTCCTTGTAGTCTGCCTATCTGAGGAGAGATGGATCAGTTAAAAGCATGCGTGCATAGAGTGAGGAGCAGCAGCGCTGAATTCACTCCCCCAGGAGTGAAGCTGGGCTGGGGGGGGCAGGGTGAAGGATGCTTCTGCTGGGAGGAAGATGAGGATTCAGAGCCAAAGACTCTTGCTAAAGATGAGTGTCCCACTTTGGCTGTCACATTGGGAGAGGAGTCACCTGCAATTATGGCTTATTGATGTCTCACTCTGGGCTGAGGCAGGTAAAAAGGCATGCCCTGAGGCCCGCTTGTGAATGTTTCCCCATCTGAGTGCTTTTTCGATACTTCTTCCTCTCCCCCACCATAGTAGCTTCAATTCCCGTGTTTGCCAGCAGGCCGCCAATGGTGAGCCCACCATGACATGCCTTGGTACCAGGTCTCCATAAAGCCCAGGCTGGTCAGACTTCTTGACCTCCCACCAGCTCTAGGAGGGCAGTTTGGGAATGCAGAGACAGGGCAATGGGAGTCCCGTAGCCACACAGATCCTTAGCTTGTGTTTCCTTCTGTGCAGGAGGGGACCTCTGCCCACGCCGACCAGTGCGCCAGGTGAGTTACTTGCTTTATGGGGTTTCTCGCCCCACAGAGGATCTCTCTGCTCTTGCTCTTCCACATCAGATGATAAGTTTTAGCTCTCTAAAGGGACTGATTTAGGTGAAGCTCCTGCTGTACGTCAAGTCCCCACTGAAAGATCATGGGAGGTTGGGTGCTGACTTTGGAGGCAAGGCTTGACCCAGGAGAAGTTCCGATCAAAGCCCTGTGTGCAGGCATTTCTGAAGGATGTCTAAGCTTGGGATCCCACCAGTCTCTGCCTTTCTTTGCTTCAGCAGCACAAGCTATATCGTTCCCAGTGCCACTTCAGTGATGGGATACTGCAGCAGGACTTGGTAAAATGAGGTCCTGCTTTGGCTTTTTGGCAAATAGTCATCTCTCTGAGCCTCATCCCCCCCTTATCACAGGTGGCCAGCACGTGGTGTTTCTGTCCTGTGTAAAGTCTTGCAATGAACACTTTCCATGAGCAGACCTGATGTTTTTTGTGCTCTGTGTTACAGATGAGCCTGATTACGCCACAGTTGACAACTATAGCTTGATACATCACTAATAGCCACAGTAAGTACTCACATTTGATGAAGAAAGGATTTAATACGAGATGCAACTACACAGAGGAGGGACAGTAAAGTAAGAAAGGCCACTGGTTAGGGATGGCATTTTGTGGTGGTGATCATGTCAGCACTGCCATCGCTTGTCTGAGCTGGAGCTGTGGTTTAGACGCTGTCCATCCTGTTCTGTAGGTTTTCCAGGAAGAAGACACTGTTGGTGTGGCCAGCGTGGCAGAAGTGATGTTTCCAGTTATTCCCAGCCACACAGAGCTGAAGTGCTTCTCCGTTTTAAGAAAGTATTTGAGGAATTGATAATTATTTGTACATTCAGATAGTGCCTACTAAAAATCTGTGCCTTTGATCAGCAAACACCTTGGACAGATATCCCATCGTGCCACTCGGGGGAAGAAAAGGAATATAAGTGATGGACCCAGACACAGGGGCGATCTGTGTCAGAAGTTTTTGATTTGAAGTTCTTCAAAAGTGCAGCTATCTGGGAGAGGCTGGAGCCTCCCTCTCTCCAGATAACTGAGAAGTCTATGTGCCAAGGGGAACGGTGCACGATGCTTTGGGCGCACTGGCTTACGTTCAGGGCACGTGTATCCCACACTGATCTCAGGTTACACTTTTGCCTGTTTCTAAAGTCTTTCATTAATGGGGATGAAACTTGTAATTTAAGCTTAATTTCAGTCATGTCTCTCAGGGAGCTAGCTTAGAGGAGCAGCAACGGTTACACCGTGTGTCTGGCTTAGCTGTAGATGTGCTTCAGGCTTAAGCGCCGATACTGGAAGCTGGTTTGCATCTTCCCTGGTGCAGCAGTCCACAGCGCAGCTACTAGTGAGAGGCTGTGCCACCATAAACATGCTGGGAAGTCCCACACCATAGTGTTGAAGATCTGAAGGACGTCAGTCAGCTCTTCCAACCACCTCTCCCATGAGGGGCTTGTGTTTTTTTAGGTTCATGGTATAGCTTGTCGCTGATAGGCTCACCATTTGATTAAGTTCTGGGAATCCCTAAACTGTGGACTTGTTCTGACTATGCACCACTGCAAACAAACTTAGCTACTAACTTCGGGCTGGAGCCATGAAACTTGTTTTCTGACCAGGTCTCCTCAAAGTTTGTGCCCTTTTTGTTACTGTATGTACGATTATGGCTTTGATTCAGAAGCTCATGCACCTGAGGGCTGCTGGTCTTTCTGAAGGCCCTGCGTGCAGTGTTGCTTATCAGCTCCTCAGTGCCTTACGACACTGGACACAGGGACACGGGGACCAGTGCACGTTTCAGTTGTCTAAACCTGGTGCCAGGTGACTAACTTTGCAGCAACAGGAGTTGCTGGTTGTATGATGTCCTTCAAGTTGAATCTGTGTGACTTCAGTGTCTGCCTAAGCGCACTGGTCCCAGGGCTTTTACTGTATTTCCTTGAGCAGAGAAGATCACGGTGAGCTTTAACATCTGTCCTGCTGCATTATAACGAACTGTGCGAAGTGCACGTGTCAAGAAATCACTTGTCCTATTTTATTTCTGAAACACCAAGTGTATAATTATTCTTCTGAAGGAGCCTGCTGTAGTCTTAGTTCTTTAAATACATATTTTAAAAATAACAGTTTTGAGACTTGTGTGCTAATGCGTGGTTTTGTTCCTATGGTGTTATGTTCACTTTCTGTTGGGGCTGGTACACCTTCAAAGCACCCTGGGATGTTGGGGTGGTGGGAGTTGCCTCTCCTGGAAGGAAGCCCACACGAGCGTATCCTTGCTCAGCCTTCATTTCATTAGTTGCTTGGTACCAAGACAGTCGTGGGAGAGAACACACCAAGGCAGGCTGGCATGAGAACAAGTGATTAGCCATGAACTGCAGCCCACGTAGGGCTGTTTCACCTGGGAGACTATCTACTCTATAATACATTGCACGGTTTCTTTATTGGGGTTTTTCATCTGACTCAGCACAATAGAGGGTGTTAGGCTTTTCTGGATGAGGAGGTCCCAACTGAGGCTGAAACTTGGCTTGCACAGAAGTAATCCCAAAATAGGAGTGCTGGTTCTGAACACACCAACTGTTGGAATAGACCTAAAGCCAAGCCAAAACCTGGCTTGGAAGAGGAGTGTCCAGACACAGAACTACTGGGAAGTAAGTAAGTCTGTGTGCCCACAAGTGCTGAAATGGCTTTTTATATTTATCTTCAGTAAGTTGCCTTGCCTGGTTGTCTTCCAGGTGGTCCACAAGACTTTGACAGGGACCTTGACAGGCTTGAGAGGTGGGCCTGTGTGAACCACATGAAGTTCAACAAGGACAAGTGCAAGGTCCTGCACATGGGTCAGGGCAATCCCAAGCACAGCTACAGGCTGGGTGAGGAATGGATTGGGAGCAGTCCTGAGGAGAAGGACTTGGGGGTATTGATTGATGAGAAGCTCAACATGAGCTGGCAGTGTGCGCTTGCAGCCCAGAAAGCCACCCGTGTCCTGGGCTGGATCAAAAGCAGCGTGACCAGCAGGTCGAGGAAGGGGATTCTGCCCCTCTGCTTCGCTCTGGTGAGACCCCACCTGGAGTACTGCGTCCAGCTCTGGGGTCCCCAACATAAGAAGGACATCAAGCTGTTGGAGCAAGTGCAGAGGAGGCTGCAAAGATGATCAGAGGGCTGGAGCACCTCTCCTGTGAGGACAGGCTGAGAGAGTTGGGGTTGTTCAGCCTGGAGAAGAGCAGGCTCTGGGGAGACCTTAGAGCCCCTTCCAGTCCCTAAAGGGGCTACAGGAAAGCTGGAGAGGGACTGTTTACAAGGGCATGGAGTGACAGGACAAGGGGTAACGGCCTTAAACTGAAAGAGGGGAGATTTCGATTAGATATAAGGAAGAACTTCTTCCCTATGAGGGTGGTGAGGCCCTGGCACAGGTTGCCCAGAGAAGTTGTGAAGACCACATCCCTGGAAGCGTTCAAGGCCAGGTTGGATGGGGGGGGAGGGTGTCCCTGCCCATGGCAGGGGGTTGGAACTAGATGGGCTTTAAGGCCTCTTCCAACCGAAACCATTCTATGCTTCCATGACATCATTTATTCCTTCCAGGACAGTTTTCACAGCCCAGTCTCCCCACAGACCCTGATAACCCACTGTGCCAGCTTCTCTGACCAGTGTTGTCTGCGCAGCTCCTGCCATCCCTCCCCAGTGTGCCCCACAGGGAGAGAGAGACAACACGTGCCTTTGTAACTGCTTTACTAACACAGAATAATAATAATAATAACACAGATAGCAAGTAAATCTTACATGCCTTCAGATGCTGGGCCTGAGCTCTGCAGGGACTCATCTGTAGGGAGACAAGAAGAAGTCACTTCTGCTCTCAGCAAGCTTGGACTTGGAACCAGCTGCAGCTTCCTAGAGATGGCTGGTCATCAAGGAGGGGATCAGAAGGGACAGTAGTGCCTGGTCCCCTGGGCTGACCCAGCAGCCCTGCTGTGGCTGGACAGGTGCTGCAGGACAGGCTGCTCCTCTCCAAGTGCTTCCAGGTCCTGCTACAGGGCAGGTAGAAGAGGCTTCACACTCTTGGGGCTTGGCTTGGCTTCTCACCCCACATTCCCTCTAGCATCAGCCTGACCTCTCCACACATCCTTATGGGAGAGCCTGGCCTCCTCCCAGGCCCCTGTAGAGGACCCTCGCCTCCCCACAGGTCCTTATAGGGGAGCCTGGCATCCTCCTAGGATCTTATAGGAGAAAGAGGCGTCCTCCCAGGCCCCTATAGAGGAATATGGTCTCCCCATAGGTACTTACAGAGGAACGTGGCTTCCCCACAGGTCCTCATAGGAGAGCCTGGCCTCCTCCCAGTCCCCTGTAGAGGACCCTGGCCTCCCCACAGGTCCTTATAGTGGAGACTGGCCTCCTCCCAGGCCCCTATAGAGGAAAGTGCCCTCCCCACAGGCCCTTAGACGGCCTGCTCTCCTCCCAGGCCTCTACGGAGGCGACGTACCGTGACTCGGTGTGTCCCTCCGTCCCTCCCGTACCTGCCCCACTGTTGATTGGCCGAGAG